AGGCAGTAAATAAGGAGGGTGCTTGGTCAACTAGGATATTCTCTGGATGTGTAGCATAGTCAGAAAAAGGCATGTTTTCAAAGGATTGCTCATTGAAGAGTAGAGTCTTAAGAATCTAGGTATCTGCATCAAATAGATACAACTAAAATCGTCAGCAACAAGGCATTGTCTGCAATGACTAGTTGACTAGGGAATCTCCAAAGATCATTAAATGGGTAGTTTTATAATCTCATTTTCTCAGTTCTGAGCCTTACAGCCTTTCAGTGGAAGCCCATAACACTCTATCGCAAACATTTTACAGAGCCAAAGAACTGAGTGACAGAAATACTAGTAGAGGGAGAGAAAAACAAAGAGGCAAAGGAAAAAGTTGAAGTTTTCTACTGAGATTTAAAATAGGATGGAGAATTGATATAGTGGGAGGGCGGGGGGGAGAGGATGTTGGTAATGGCAGGAGTTGTAGAAGAGAAGGCTCCTTGTGCCAGCAGTGACCAGATTAGTTGAAAGGCAGAGCGGAGGCTGATGCTAGATTAGTGGGCAAAGTCTGTGAGGTCTGCTGGAGCAAGTTCATGGAGGGTTTTACAAACAAGGAGGCCAATTTTGAACTGAGTCATGAGCCTATGGAGTTATTCAGGATTGAGGATGATGTGATTGCATTGGTTGTAAGAACGCAGGCTGCAGAAAATTGCATTTTCTTGAGTTGGGAGAGCTGGGACAAAGAAAAGCCATTGAGAAAGTCATTGTAATAATGAAGTTGAGAAGACACTTAAGACGTATGTACTCTACAGTGGTATAAGTGGTGCTGCAGCTACACTTCTGCAATCCTGGAGAATAGATGTACGCTGCACTGACAGAAGGGTTTTTTCCATCACTAGTAACTCCACCTCCTTGAGCAATAGTAGCAAGTCGACAGAAGAATGCTTCCGCATCTACACTGGGGGTTTAGGTCAGTAGAACTGTAGAGCTCAGGGGTGTCAGTGCTGTAACTATGTCAACTGAAGTTTTAAGTGTAGATCAGGCTTAAGATCTGGATGAGGATTCATCAGAGGTAGGACTGGGGCAGTGGCAGACAGAGGCAGTGTTTCAGAGGTGTGATGGAGAGATACCCAGGTATGGATAAGGAAGGAGAAAGAGCAGAATCAAGTCTGACAGAGTTATGTACAGTGGAGGCAAATAGGATATTATTTGTTACTGTAATGGTCAAAATGTGCTAGCTATACATGGTCACTGCCACAACCTATACGTGTGGGCGGGAGGATACTGCTTTTGCCCAAGAGAATCATCTTTGTCTCTGAACTCTTGCTAAGCTGAAGTGACTGATGATGAAACTGATTGTTATGTGCCAGAGCTTGAAATTTTCAATAGCATCTTCATTTCATTTACTCTTGTAATGTCAGGCTAGTTATCCATACAGTTTTACTCTCTCACTCCTTGGACTACTAGATAATTAACACAGAGCATCCTTTGGTAGTGACTGGTTCTGATTCTGGTGCCCCGAGTTGACTTTGAGTTCAGTAAACTAAAGTCTGTAATGCCAGTTTTTCCTATTACTAGTACGTGCATTTCCTGTACACTAGGCACTTGCATTCTCTGAAAAGTACTGAATAGTTGTTTAGTTTTGTGTATATCTGGAATTTGTTCCTTTTATGATCCAAAATAGAATAGCTATTGTGTTATTTGCCCACTGGCTTCTATAGCTTCTTGCTCTCTGAACCTTGTTAGGAACCTTCTGTCTAATTTAGATGCAGACAGATTCCTAAAGCATCAGATACATGTGATTTCTAGTATCTTTGATGCTAATTACTAGTATTATAATTTATTTATATTGCAGTAGTGCCTTGGAGGCCCTGTAATGGATCAGGATCTCATAATTGAGGCAAAATTTGCCTTATTTCTGGAGATTAGTTGTCCAAAATTGCCCAGTGAAAAGAAAGTTGCTTGTGATCTTTGTCTGAAATTTCATTTGTCCATCTGCATTTCCAGCCCCACTTCATTTATGAACGGTGTTGAGCTAATTCCTTAATAGCTGCACACACATTTGGTGTGTTTTTGAAAATGCTTTGCAGGCCTTGTTCATTCTGCTGTAAATGGTGCAACTCCTGTGAACGTCTGTGCCTAGTTCAATAATGACATTTGTTGGGTGGAAAATGGATGTAAGTGGCAAAGTAGGGTACCTTGTGCTGAACAGGCAAAGGAAGTGTAACTTACAAAGCGAGAGGGATGTGGGGAAAAAAGCAGCCAATAGGAGGGAGTAAGCAAATGCTAGTTGCATTTTCTGTTGACCTACCTCTCATTTTGCTCACCCAGTGAGTTCTGGATTGATCTGTTTACACCTACATTCTAATTTACCCCCAAAGTGTGTTTTACTTGTCAGGTCCCCACTGGATTTGTCCATGCAGCGTGTTACATAAGCTTACATTTATAAATTATTGCTTTAATTTATGTTTTTCTTAACTTTTTAGAAAGATTAATAGAGATATGATAAAAATCTAGCTCTCTGTCTTTCTTTTCTCTGCCAATCTCTGATTGGATTCTTGTCAGGTGAAACATGGGACAGTTTCTACGGAACGCTAGGTGACTTCTTTGACATCCTGGTTACCATGACACTCAGCAGAGGACTGTGGGAATAAAGTGGGAATCCCTCCCCGCCCTCAAAAAACCACCTAATGGCCTCAACTGGGTAAGAATCAAGTGAGACTAAAGAGTTACGAACTTTCTTCTGTCCTCACGGATTATCTCAAAGGCACTGCGCAAGGGCTAGGTCTACACCAGCGTTTCTCAACCTGGGGGTCGAGACCCAAAATTGGGTTGCCAGGATGTTTCAAAGGGTTGTGTGGCAGCTCCTTTGGCTCCTGTCCCACAGGACTGGCTGGGCCCTGCTCCAGGCACTGCAACCCCTGGGGTCTGAGCGACACTCAGGTTTGGCCCAGCCATCGTGATGACGGGAGTCCGGATAGGACAAATTTGAGTGAGTGTCACTGCAATCCCATGAGCCAGGTCACAACTCCATTCATGCAAATTTGGTCAAGTCAGGGGGGCGGGGCGGGGCCAAATCTGGTGGCGCTGCAACCCCGAAGGTTGAAATGTCCAGAGCTGAGAACCAAGCCCAGCTAGCCCCACAGCACAGCAGCTGCAGCGGCTGCCGCTGTGGAGTGAGTGCTGGGCAGGACCTGACCGAAACCCTTCAGGGCCTCCACCCCCAGACTATTTACAACAGGCCATAAACATTTATGAATGGGTCTTGAGCCCGAAACGGTTGAGAACCGCTGATCTACACTACAAACTCTTGCTGGCATGGCTTTGTTGGTCAGGGTTGTGATCTCTAGCCTAGACATAGTTATAGTGGTAAGATTGTGCTTTCGCTTGTATAAGCTATTTCCACACAAGCAGTGCTTTGCTGCTATACCCTCCTGGGATAGCTATACTGGTGAAACACTCCTAGTGTAGATCTGGCTAGTGCTTAAGGAATCCTTCCTCATTGTGATTAGTCATAAAATGGGTAGTTGGTGCCAAAACTCCAGAGTAACATTATTTTATGAACAGCTTCCGTAGCCCCATTGTATCACATTCGCTGTTAGTTGCTCCGTGAAAATATTCTTCTATTAGAAAAATCCCCTGGTGGTGTGGCATTGCGCCCTGGCATGCATACCCACTCCCCCCTTCCTCGAGGGCATTTAACGTCCAGTACACTTCCAGGGCTCCACTGAGCCATCCCTGCCTTTGCTCCACCACACTAAAAGCCTGGGTCATTAGTTGGGATGAAACAATAATTACGGATCAAAAACACGAATGAAATTGTGCCTTTATCCTCTGTTGTTTTTTTTTCTCCCGCACCCTCCCTCTAGGGCTCACCTGGTATGCTAACGTCATGGGGAGCTGCTACAGCTACCTGTGCAGAGACAGTGTCCCAGACAACCACCCCACCAAGTTTAAGGTAATACCCTTTATCCTAGAGGGAAAGCTCTGCAATTGACAGCAGCCACTGAGAATCAAGGCCTGCAAAGTACAATCCAAATTTCATGGAACCTGGGCATTAAAGCCCTTTCTCTTATGGGGAAATTCTTCTATAGGGAAAGATTTGCAAATGTGTTGCTAATTTTTAAGCAGGGAATCCCCTGCTTGCTGGTTCCACCCTCTGTCATGTAGAAGGATTTGCGTTGGCATCGAGATTCAATCTCCCAGTGCCAGAGAAGAAACAGGTGCAATGAGAAGGGAAAATTAGATGGCTCACGTGTTGTGGAACCTTTCAAATTGGGCCCAAGTCAGTGGGCATCAAAAGTTATCACCATGTGGTAGCTATTTGGTGGCTTGTGTGAAATGAGTCCGTGCGTTTCAGCCTAATTGGCTGTAAACAGGTCTCCACGTTGTAAAAGCACCAGCGCAGCCGGCAGTGGTTGAACCATTTGACAGTCTTAGCAGAGAGGCCAAGAATTGGAGAGAGACTGAACTCTCCTCTTCCCACTCAAGGGTGTCTCCCCCTCCCCACCCCCCCATGCCTGTGTTGAGGCACATTAGCTGAGCTGGTGTGGGGCTGCAGTCTTCAGGACTGTCCATGTCGCACCTTTCACCAGCAATGAATTCACACCCAAATGACCTCCCCCTATCATCCAAGAGCAAGGCATGTTAATGAGTCAAAGGAGAGAGTGCTGGGGCTTCCAGGCAAACTTACATCTGTCACAGGGATTGGACCTGCTTTGAGCAGGGGGTTGGACTAGATGACCTCCTGAGGTCCCTTCCAACCCTGGTATTCTATGATCTCCTGTGTTGAGCCTCCTGATGTGAGCTTTGGTGCCTCTGCAGGTAACAAATGTGGATGATGAGGGTAACGCGCTGGGATCTGGGATTATGGAGCTAACGCAGATGGAGCTCATCTTGCACACACACAAGCGCGATGCTGTCAGGTGGCCGTACCTTTGCCTGCGCCGCTATGGCTATGACTCCAACCTCTTCTCCTTCGAGAGCGGACGCCGCTGCCAGACTGGACAAGGTGTTGTGTCTTTTGGGGGAACAAACCTGTCTAAAACTTTCAGTTTCAGAATGCTGGAACTGCTTGGTGCTGATTTCTCCCCTGCTTATTACATCTGGGAAACCTGCTTTATTCCCTGCTTCACATGCACAAGCGATAGCACACCTCTAGGGTACTGTAGTGTGTTTGCATGTGCATTTAATACTCCCAATTAAGACATTAATGTTGGAAGCTTGTGACTGAGGGCAGAGCCATCATGTGGTATCACTCTTGTGGCTTATTGTGGCTCACTTGTTTATATTTATAGACTTAAAGTAATTAGGCTATTGCCTTGTAAATGCACAGCATGGAGAAACACATCTAGAATTGGCTCTCATTATATCTTAAGGTAAGCAGTTTTGGAGTGGGATTTCAATTGGATCAGAGACCATTAAGGAAAACCCAGGGTGGCAGAAGAAGTAAGTGATTCTGTGGGCTTACTCTTCTGTGTTGGTACTGAGGAGGTGCTAGAAATGCCACCTTTCTATGGGATGTGAAACCAAGGTCCCCCAAGGTGCTTTTTGCAAGGATGAGGCTGTTGGCTCTGGTTTCCTAGGCATGTTTCAACTTCAGATATTTGCTTTTCAATGCACGTCATCATCTATGTCCTCTGTACTACTGTCTGCCAAGCCTCTGCTCTGTCTTCGTTTAGGTCCCTTCTAAAAGGCTTGCTTGTTCCACAATGACCCAAAAAAGTGAGTCAATGTTAGTTTTTAAAAAATCCTGTCCTCCTCTGTTCTGGTCTTTCCAGTGCATTCTGTCTTCTCTGTCTGCCTTGTTTAGCAGTACTACTACGTTTACTGCTTTTTATCCATTGATCCCGCAGCACTTTGCAAGGTGGGGAGAGGGTAGTTCCAAAAGTGCCCCATTTTTTTACATATGGGGAATCTGAGGCACAGAGATGACGTGACTCACCCAAGAACACCCCATTCAGTCAGTGGCAGAGCTGGGAATAGAGCCTATGTTTCCTGATTCCCACTATTCCATGCTGCCTGTTAAACTGTAAGTTTCTTGGCATAAGGACTATTTGTATATTACTTGTAAAGAGATGAGCATATTCTTGGCACACAGCAAAAGAAAAAAAAAATCAGGTTATGTCCCCCAATTAGCATCGTGTGTTGAAAAGTCCTCTGATATCTGAATAAAGTCCACATCACTGTTCTGCGTCTATTTATAAATATTGTGTGCATTTACAATGCTGTGTGCTACTCTTTTATAATATTTATATAAATAGGATTTGCCTTTAGTGGAATTCCATGCTTATCGGTTGTCAGCAGGGTGGGACCTGTGGCTTTTTGTGTGTGTCTACTTTGCCTTTTGCAGGATTCAGATCAATCGTTGGAATGCTGTTACGTTTACCTGGGTTTTCTACGGAACTCTAGATAGCACAGATAGGGTAGAGTCATTCACTCTTCACCTACAAAGAGAGCTTTCAGAGGGCACAGGTTAAGTCATCCATGTCCTCTATATGCAAAGATAAATTGTATGGAAGCCATACTGTTTTGATCTGCGTACATTTCCTCTGGTTCTTTTCCTGTTCATAGGAGACTTTCTCACTTAATTGATTTTATTTGGATCATTCCTCCCTAGCCCCAGTGAATAAGACAGATGCATATATTTTCTGGCAAGAATATTTTTCAAATTTTTCTTCAGAGTAGCAGCAGTTGTTGCCATGCTGTTGTCCTTGTTGCTATGGCTTTTGTGCATTCATGTGTGTGCGCACCAGCATGTGATTGGTTAGTTCTGCACACGTTGGCTATTGGTCAAACTATTTATCTGGGGAGCCACCGTTTAATCTGATACATTTTAAAAGTGGGGTGCAGTTGCTCCTCCCTTCCACATGCAATCCGGGTGCCCAATCCAATTCCCCTTAGAATCAATGGAAAGACTTCATTGACAATGGGAGTTGGATCGGGCCCCAGGTAAAATGAAAGAACGGAAATTACAGGTGAAGAATCTCATCTGTCACCCAGTATACCATTCTTATCTCCAGCAGAGTTAACTAATGTAAAGTTGGCATTAGATGCACCAATTCATGGATCAACTAGCAATGGTGGTGTTATGTTTCTAGTGATGTAACAACAGGACACACTATACAGAAATATCGCCTCGGGGGTGTTTAAATATTGACAATATCTTACAAAATATTTCCCTGTAAACCATAAATTTGTGTGTAGAGAAATACAGGGCTTGCCCAACAAGCTCAGACGAGTTGTCAATTTAATTCAGTATCCTGTTTGAAATATTGTCTCACACCATGAGCTTTAGAGGAAAATGGAAGAAGCTTCATAATGTGTAACAACGGGCATATAGAGAAAATTACTTCCTAACCCCAGACATTTAGTATGTGACTTGTACCCTGACTTGTACCCTGAAGCATGAGGGTTTATACCTCTTACAAATGTGTGTACTATCTAATGGAAGGGTGACTATTCCCATTACCTATATAAATGTCTAATCTCTTTTTGAATCCTGCCAAGCTCGTGACCTTATCCTGTGACAGTGAGTTCCCCAGGTTAATTGTGTTGTGTTAAACAGAAACCCTTTTCAGTCAGATTTTACATTATGTTGCTTTCCAAGGACTAGACTACACTCTTATTAAACTAAGGTTGTACTCGTCTCTCCCCACCCCCCGTCTTTGTATTTGCACAGGGATATTTGCCTTCAAGTGTTCAAGGGCGGAGGAGATCTTTAACCTGCTGCAGGACCTGATGCAGTGTAATAGTATCAATGTGGTGGAGGAGCCAGTCATCATGACTAGGGGCAGTCACTCCACTGAGCTGGAGCTATCCCGGACACCCCAGACAACCAACAGTAAGGCTTCCAGAGTACTAGGTCGGGTAGAGGAAGTTTGTCCAAGTTTATCTCTGTGTTGGGTGCTGGTCTCCCAGCCAAGGCTACATTCCCCAAAGCAGCTGATGTGAGCTGTCTGGCCTCTGAGCTGGGCCCTCGAGTCCACGTATGTTCTGTGCAGCATGCTTAAAGCCCCACTCGTTTGCAGATGTGATACCTTGTTCCTAAGGAAATGGGAACAAAAACTGCAAATATCAACCTCATTCTCCGACTCCAGTTGGATTCCAACTGGAGCTCTGCCAAGTGGCCTCTTTAGAGATCAGCGGGCTCCTGAGGGAAACCTCAACTAGAAGAATGTGTGTTTGTTTCCCACTTTCATAGACGTGACTTAAGTGCTGGTAAATTTAACCTGGGGGCCTAGCCTGCATATTTACAACAGGCGTACACACGGTAGGAGCCTTTCCCCGCCAAGCAGGCTCTGCCTTTCCAGCACGTCTGTTTAATAAGGCCCTTTGAGAAGCTGGCCCATGGTGCAGATGCAGCCGCATCTGTACGCAAGGCCAGTGTGATGCTCTGCCTCTAAAGCACGTCTCTCTGAATTCTCCCCCGAGCTCTGGGATACACTGTTCCAGGGTTCCCCAACGGATTCCACAGCTTCCCTGGGGAAGCCCCATCCTACTCCACGGCCCGACACCCTTCCATGAACAGCTTGAGACACTCCTCCATTGGGGAGGACTCCACACATGCCCTCATTGGGCCGGATGAGCAGGTAAGCCCAGGTCTCCTGATCTCCATTGCTGCAGGGAACTCATAGCATGTCGTCTTCTCTTCTAGGATTCTTGTGGGGTGCGAGGCTCACGCATCTGCTCAATGTTAAGGAAGCCCAGAGACCCTCTTACCTTGTCAGTTGCTCCTTCTTGGCTGTTTTACTTAGTTTCACTGTTGCAAATTTGCACCCCTGTGACTACTTGCTGGAACAGCTGCTCGCAGCGAGGACTGGGTGTAGCTTCCCCCAGCCATCAGTAATGATCTGCCCCTTGTTTGACAGCAACATGCAATTCCCTCCTGAAACTGTATGTGCTGCTTCCACATCTCTACCAGCCCCAAGCTAAACTCTAGGCTGGATACCGGAACTCAGACCCTTGCATGGTGTTGTGCTGCCACTACATTGCTTGGGCAGCTGATCTTTGTTCTCTGTGTTTAGGCTCATAGGATTTATCATGCTAGATCAGTCCATTACACTCTGTGTCTTGTCTCCATCATTGTCTGATAGCTGGTGCTTCAGAGTCACACAAACCTAGGCAGGTGTGGGCTCCTTCCTCACGTCATTTCTGTGTCCTTGGATACTTTATATAGACCACTCAAGAAGATATCTCACCTTGTGTAGATGGAAATTCATATGCTCCACACCAGAGTTTGAACTCAACTTGAGACCTGTTTAAAAACGTGTCATAGATACTTTGTTTTAAACCATCTCGTGTGCATAAGTTGCTCATGTTTGAAAGGAGCCTATGTGAGGGCAAGTCTGTGCTACAAACTTGCCAGCACGGCTGTGTCAGTCGGGGTGTGATGATGCGTGACCCTGGCTGACAAAGCTGTACTGTCAGAAGCCCGTACGCTAGATGTCGTTGTACTGGCAAAACTGCAATTTTGCTGGTATAGTTCATTTTTTGAGGGGGAGGGGCTAGAATAAGCTTTTCTGGCAAAGCACAGTTTTGCTGCTATAAGCTGCATCTACACTAGGAGCGCTTTGCTGGTGTAAAATACCAGTATAACTATACCAGCAGAGCACTTCTAGTGTAGATCTGGCCTCAGGCCCCAGAGAGCCCACACGTCAATCCCCTGATTAATAGTGGCTCTGATCCTAAGAGAGAGGCTGGGGAGTTATGGGAGACAGGAGCAGAACCAAATCAGGCCAGATTAATGGGGAAGCTTTAGAGCCATATTATGTCTCCTTTATAATATGGCATATTATAGTTTCTAGATGAGCAAAGATGCTGTTCATCCTGCCCCATAGAAACTAAAGTCACATCCATGAGAGAAAACAAAATTCATTCCTGTCTCCAGGTGCTGGGTGTTTGGTTTGCAACAGTCGATGTGTAAACATAATTTTACCATAGCTGCATCCCTTTCGGTCAAGTTTCACTCCCCACTTTCTCGGCACACTGCCCCTCCAAGTTTTTTCAGCCACCAAGACTCCTCCTCCTCCCCCCACTTTATCAGCCACCAGGCTCCTCACTCTTCACACTCACATTCTCAGCTGTACTCTCACTCAATCCCACCCCCTGTATTTTTGGCTCTGATCTCTTCCTATCATTGTCCCCCTCCCCAGCATCACCCTCTGCCTCTAAAACACATCTTCTCTCCCTGCAGTCCCACACCTATGTGAACACAACCAGTGGCGAGGAGGAGATGAGGGGCCGGCACTGCATGCACTCGCTGCCTGAAGTCCACCCTCCTTTTCTGCACGGGAACCACAGCTGCTCTCTGGAGGACCGAAACCCCCAGGTCTTCCTGCAGCCGGGGGAGGTGAAGTTTGTGCTGGGCCCTGCCCCAGTTCACAGGCACATGGTGAAACGTGACAGCTCCTGCCGTTACTATCGGGAGTGCGGGGGGCACATCTGCGGCCCTAACAACAACAACGAGTGCAAGGATGAGTGCCTCGTGCCCAGGTGCGTATATGAGAATGTGAATGGCCTGCTGCCTGCTGGGGGCGCATCTCTTCGGCGTGGCGGGCGCTTGAAACTCACCCGGGAGGACCTGGGCTTAAACAGCTGCTCTCACCGCAGGACGCCCCTGCTGAACTACGAGAACCTGCCTTCCTTGCCTCCTGTGTGGGAGTGCCAGCCGCTGCGGCAGGACGAGGACTCTGGGGACACGCTGACTCCTTCTCCGAATGGCTACCCCGAGCCGGACGAAGGTGACCCCCTGCAAAACTACATGAACTCGGAGAACGCCGCACTGCACAGCGGCCTACGTCGGGATGACTTCTTGCAGCACCGCCACAACTGCACACCTAGTGTCTTCAGCTTCGACTTCCGCCGGCCCTGCCCGGAGCAGCAGCGTCAGCTCAACTACATCCAGGTGGAGCTGGAGGCTGACCCCCACAAGGGGCGCCAGAGCCTCCAGGTGCCCTGCACCCCGCTTCCTGCCGCCCACCCAGCCAGCAGGATGGACTCCTACGCGGTCATTGACCTTAAAAAGACAGCAGCCATGTCCAACTTGCAGAGAGCGCTGCCCAGAGACGATGGGACTTCAAGGAAAACTCGGCATAACAGCACCGACTTGCCTCTGTAAGGGAAACACTGCGTGCAAGCGCTGCATTGTGGCTTTCGTACCTGCCTTTCAGTGTATCGTGTAGCGTGACTTTCGTTCTCTATTGCCCCGACGCCCTGTTAACCCTATTGCTCAATACAGCATCCTGGGATAGCTCCAGCAAGCGGACTTTACAAATGTCTGCCTGCCTCTCTCCGTTCCTCCCATGTCATTTGTTTCTAAAGCCTTGCAGAGTAGCAGAAAACGGTCATTTATGTATTTATTTATTTATTTAAGTTATTTTGTGGGGTGCCAGCATTCGAAACGGCACCAAGCGGAGTATAAATGTAAACAGGTCATTCGTGGACCAGGGTCAATCCCCCTGCTTTCATGTCATCCATGTCGGCAGCCTGTGGAGAGAAGACAGGGGGAGGGATAGCTCAGTGGTTTGAGCATTGGTCTGCTAAACCCAGGGTTGTGAGTTCAATCCTTGAGGGGGCCATTTAGGGATCTGGGGCAAAAATCTGATTGGGGATTGGTCCTGCCTTGAGCAGGGGGGTGGACTAGATGACCTCCTGAGGTCCCTTCCAACCCTGAAGTTCTATGATTCTATGCGAGGGATGGAGAGAGTATTGGGAGTGTTTATAAAAAAAACCCATAGGAGCAGGGGGAAAGACTGGGAATGCAAGTGGAGTTTGAGGTTTGGGATCAGGGAGCCCTTGGTGTGTACTTATCTGTCTGCCTTTTTTGTGGATATTCAGAAATGTTTTCCAGCTGTCGGTTTATTTATTTGTTTTATTTTTCTATCTATTTATTTTATTTTGTAAACATTCTTTTGCACCAAAGTTAAAAGTGCCAAGCCAGTGGCAACATGGAATGGATCCGCTTGGTGTTCACCTCCTTTTTTGGGGCGGGGGCTGGCGGGGCGGGGGGGAGGGGAGGGGATGATATGGTGAAAAGGGTGCTTTGTGGAACTACAAATGGGGAAAGCGTAGCTGTGACTCAAAGCTCAGTTACCTGGAATGCACTATATTGGGCTGGTGGGAGTGACTGCAGAAAACATGGAAGTGTCAGCATAGCTGCGAGGCAACCAAGCTTGGAGTCATATCTAAGGAGCAGTGCCTACTCCCGCATACCTCGCTGAGTCCACGTGAAATAATTGACTAGTGTTTTGGCTAAATGCATGGCTCGTTTCCTTGTCTTGTAGACTCAAAGGACTAAATTGAGCTTTACTGTAACTCCATTGGCTTTGATGGTTGTAACCAGTTACCCCAGGGCTGAATTTGATGTGAACCATCAGGCCCTTCTGTAAAAAAAACAAAAAAAAAAAAAAAACAAAAACAACTTGCGCATGATGTTCTACTTCTCTTCCACTGTGGGATGTTCCAATGATAACATTCTGTGTATGGTTTCACTTGCTACAGGCCACACCAATCTTTGCAGCATGAGGCATTCACTGATTCCACTTTGCTATTCCCTCTCATTTCTATGAGATGTAAAAGAGCTCTTGGAATTATATTCACTTCTGCCTTATTGTTTTGAAACTCCCTCACCCTCTTCCACAGGATTGGAATCATGCCATCCAATTCTCTGAAAGCTCGCTCAGGGTTGGCAAATGGAGCCATCCAAACCTTCCTATGATGTCCTTGCCATTGGTATGTTAACAGACTAGAGTCAGTGAAAGGGAAAAGCTGGTTCATCTGCTTATATCTCGGCCCTGGCAGTCACAAGCATAATCTATCGACTTCTGAGATTCTTTCCAGCGCTAACAAACCCAGCTTCTTTTCAGTGCTGCCTTGAAACGTGAGTCTTTTGGGAGCAATGGCAAGGAATGTAGCCAAGCCCTACAAATAAGTAAAGCTGATGGGTATCCATATAATCTCTTTACCCTTAGGTCAGGAATTCCTCCCCATTTGTAGAGTTATGATTCTTCTCATTGGCTTGGTATCTCATTGGGGGGGGGGGAGGGAGAGCTCGGTGGTTTGAGCATTGGCCTGCTAAACCCAGGGTTGTGAGTTCAATCCTTGAGGGGGCCACTTAGGGGGTCTAGGGCAAAAATCAGTACTTGGTCCTGCTAGTGAAGGCAGGGGGCTGGACTTGATGACCTATCAAGGTCCCTTCCAGTTCTAGGAGATTGTAATGCAGATATCCTATCCTAATACCAAACACCACCACCACCTTCAGAAGTGAGTGAGTTTTGGCAAGCCTTTGACCTCTTGTCTTCCAGGCTTCAGTCCAGCTCTTATTTTTGTTCTATAACAGAAGCTAATTATTTTTAATATATGAACTGACTTTATTTATAGGGAAATTGTCACATAGTTTATGCCCCACATTTAGGTTTCATTGGGGGTGAGGAAGAATTTTTTTTTTTAAGTAACTGTATAAAAATATTTTCATGAACAATCTCAATGAAGAGGCTTTTTTTTTAAGGGTTAAACATCACCTTCCGTTGTAGCTTTTGCATCTCAAACATTACAGCACTGGACAATGCCTGAGAGTCTTTAGCTGAAACTGACTAACTGCTGAATTTAAATTGACTTGTCTAGTTTTGCTCACCCAGCTGAGATGTGCAAAACATCCAGGCCAAAAATATATATATATATATTTGTAAAACAAGTCAGGATATAGGTTTTGCTAAATGTGTGCTTGATCTTGGACAGAATGTCTTTAAAAGTCACAATACGAACATATTAGAGTTACATGGCAGCTGTTGCTGCAAATGCACTGTATTAATGTATCTGTATTCATGTAGGCCTTGATCCAAAGCCCATTGAAGTCAGTGGAAAGACTCCCACCGTCTTTGGTGGGCTTTGAATTGCCCTTTTATGGGCAAATGTTGTTGCCTATTATAGTGCTTCATTGGACCAATCCAGCACTCACTGAAGTCTGCTGAATCCTTCCATTGACTTCACTTGCAGCCCAGATCAGGGTCTATTCTAGGAATTTGTTGTTAGCATTTGGCATGATGAACTATCTAGTTTAGTGTTGTTATGACTAGGGATGTGGGGAACCTGGCACACATCCACAGCAGTAAATCAAGTCCTCTAATACCTTTATCCCTTCCTCACTTCCTCGTTGGTCTGTAGCAAATGTATTGATCTAACAGGTTTATTCAGTTAACGGAGAGGATAAAATATTTTTGTTTCCCCACATCTAAGATGGGTTTTAAAAAGTGATTAGCGGGGCTGTTTACAAAATAATGTTGGTCACAAATGACCACCAAGTAAAAAGTGGTCACAGGATAATAGTTGCCTGCTGCTAGATGAGTGCTCTTAACATAGGGATAAAAGAAATAGCACTTCTCTCTGTCCCGTATTCTGCTTAGCCTGCATGAACTGCAGACTTTCAGGCCTTGTTCTAATTATGCTAACAAGCATCTTTAGCAGGGCCCTATCACAATTCCTCTGATCAGCAACAGTTTTCTGAGAACTAGGTTAATCAGACCATGCTGTGATGCACCCACAAGATGCCCCAGCTGGCTCTCTCCCCATTGTTGTATGTAGCATGATTTTTTAACCTAATTATCGGACATTGCGTCCATCTACACTATGACAGTATTAGGGGATCTGGTTACCACATGCCTGTCACCCGCACATTGAAAGCGGATCTTGTAATGCAGATGGGAAATGTCTGAGGCTTTAGCCTGTGTTTGGTGCCCTGTTTACAGCTGTATTTGTAGTGCAGATGAAATGGAAAAGTCGCTGTCCACATTGGCCTTTGGAAACAGCCCTAGCAACACCTACATTGAAGAGGAGTTCTTACTAGCATGGTGTAAGTCATAGTGTGGACAGTCTAAGCACCTTTGAGAGTAAGGGGGAGACAGGAAAAACCAGTATGTGACAGGAGCCATCATCCCTGTTGTATTGTGGTAGCTCCACTCTGTTGTGAAGTTTCCTGCATTTGCTGGTGACTGATCAGATTTAGAAAGTGTGCCTCTCTTTAAAATTGGGAGTGGCCTGGTGGTGGCAATCCTAGGACTTCAGGATCATCTCCTGATGGAGATGAAAGGCTGAGAGGGAAGGATGAGAAGGACTGAGCTAAGAAAGAAGATCCTATAAGCTATTTGTCATGCACTCACTCATTTGGCAGATGGTGCTAAGGCACTTATAAGGCTTGTGCCATTTTCTTTCAGTAAATCATGGGAAGTGACCTCAGGTGATGTGGGGCCCAAGCCTATGAATCACTGAGCATCCTCCACTCCCACTGAGTCTCATTGCCTTGCCGGATCAGGGCCTTGGAGGTTTAACAGCAAAGCTAATCTAGTCCCAGACCAAAAAGGTAAATTTCCCCATTCTGCCCCATGTGGGCTTGCTATTGGCTAGAACCACCCCAAGATCACAAAGGACTCTTGACACTACTGCAATAGCAGAAGAGGACTCCTTGACCATTGGACCAAATTCCTCCTGGTTGCAGCCTCGTTAGCGTTGGTAGGGTTACACCCAGGATCAATATGGTTCCCGGCATTGGAATAAGATATCTCAGACCCTGTCCTTTCCCATCGAAAGGGGAGGGGCCTTCATTGCCTTTTGGCAGAAACATTGGGTTCCTTTAAGTGTATCCAAAGCCACTCATGTGTACAAGTGAGTGCTTACCTGTCTTTGGAGAAGTCAAATCAGGTGTAATGTAATAGGTGAGGCCTGGGGCCATGTTGTAGAGTTTGCTGTCATAGTGTTCTCTCTCTAGAGTGGGAGAGTTGGGAACAGCCAATATACCTGAATGAGTATTTCCAAAACTCTAAATGAGCTGAGAGGCTGGAATAAATCAGACGGGTCTCTTCAAGGTGATGTTTGTTAGCAACACAGCTCTGTGGGGCTTCCTCCCCAGTGCATCCACACAGGCTGAAGCCCCTAATGTGCCCCGGACTGCAATGCCATTCAAATGGTCTAGTGTCTAGTACATGGGGTTGGGATTAGGGCGATAGGTGTTTAATTATTGTCTCGGCCTCAGACTTCCTGGATGACCCTGGGTAAGTCACGCTACCCTGTGCCTCAGTTTCCCATCTGTGAAGGGGAATAATACTTCCCTACCTTCCAGGGGCGTTGTAAGGCACTTGTGGTTGGGATACTATGGTGATGAAGGCCATATAAGTACATAGAGATTCTGACACTTTGACTTGGTTGCCTTATCAAAGCTATAATCCAGTTTATAGTGGTTGATAATGAATGATGCACCTGCTAAGGAGGGGAGATGAAGTAGCTAGAAGTTCTCTCATCACCGAGGTTATAGAAGAAGCCTCTGATTCTATCCTGGGTGGTTCTGATTTAGTACATGTGTGGTTTGATTTGGAGTTTGATTTTGCAAATTGCCATCTGGCTGTGTCTTGATTTACTGTCTCTCGAATTCTCCATTCCTTATGGCATCCTTGGGTAAGAGGAGTGCAGTGTTTGACTCAGCAGGCTTTGTTCATGAGACGTTGCAGGGTCTCATGAAGAGGTTCAAGAGAGAAGTGCCAGGGGCAGATTGGCTCTAGGTGATGGCTGAGTAGAAGTGAATTTACAATTTAATGCTCATTGGACCCATGTATCCATAGCACAGAAGGTCAAGTTCAGCTTTCGAGCTGGGTGGGAAGACTTCAGGGGACAGAGAGAGAATCTGTGCAGGCAAAGAGGGAGAACCAATTGGCCACACTGTGAATAGATAAGGCTTCTTAAGGCAGTTAGTCATCTCATGGGCTTGGGGGAAACACAGCCCTGGTCACCTGACTTGAGTTAGCCAGGAATGTATTAGACCAGTGGCTCCACTGCTCTTTCATTCTCTGGCAGCTTCACAAGGGTGAGATCTCCTTCCATGGACAAGGTCCTCTCCCAATCTCTGTCCTGTTGCCTCGTTTTCGACAGCCAGGAAAACAGTTCATGGAGCGCAGCGTGAGCTCTGCTACATTAGAGCTTCAGGGACCGGAAAAAGAAGGGAAGCCCCTGTTGATGAGGTTTCAATGTTAACAAGTGTGGTGTGGTGTTATCCAGCCTCATAGCTTCCTCTAGTGGTCAGATGTGGGATATTCTCAGGTAGAAGATGGGAGTTTTCAGTGGCAGGTTGAACAGGCTTGGACCTTTTTTATTTGACTTTTCCTCACCAACAAGTTCCTTGCTCTGTTTGATTAGACGTTGCTTTGGATAATAGATGGTAGGGAGCCTGTAATCCAGTGGTAATTCTGTTGGAATCTCTTATCCTATGATTCTCTTTTGGTCTGGAATTATTTATATTTATAGAGCGCCATTGGTATTCCTGACACTGTTACAGATCTAAAATAAGACAATAATGCCCTGAGGAGTTCATAATCTGCAGGGAAAATTCAGCCCTGCTGTAACTCCACTGACTTCAGTGGGGTCACACGGGAGATGAATTTTGCCCCAGTTATCCTTGTTAGAAACCTTCTAGTTCATGACAAGAAAACAGGACATCTTCTCAGTCTATATTTTCCTCCCTACCATGTCCTTTAAAGGTTGCCTTTCTTTTCCTTGCACATCTTGCCGTGAGCCTTGCAAGGAACAGATTATTGGACTATCCAAATGCCTGTGCACCTGTATCTTGGATGTGGATTAAATTAGGAACCATCATCCACATCCCAGTGTCTCCCCTCCAAACATGCTGTGACCACCTCAGCTAATACAACATAGGCAAAAACCAGAATGTTTCATCTTTTGTAGTGGCCTTCATAAACCTTGGTCTCAAGAGTCAAAGGTGCTCTCCAAAGCATTATATATCTGGCTGGTGTCACACCGCTGGACACAAGGAGCTCAGCATCATAAATGGGTGAGTACCTGCCCTGGAGATCCCGCATGTGCTAACACAAAAAGGAATTAGCCCCCGAACTGAATTGGGTCCATGATGAGGAACACATCATCTCTTAAGGCTTGTCCTGTGGGCGGAGGGCTTCCTCTGGTATTGTCTCTGCACTGATCTGTTCTGTGTGGGGCTGATAACATGGAAAAGACCATGTGTTCCCAGGAGGCTTTCGGCTTGAGGAGATTTTCTTTAGGTTTTTGAGTGGCTTAACTTTTTAAGTGTTTTTTCTTGGGGTTTTGAAGTTAGGCAGGTGGACTGCCTCTCCCTCGACATCTATTTGTGGTTGCCAGGGAATAGGTCTAATCTGAAGGAGCGTGTCTATTTTTAGCTTGTTTTATACAGCCTAGATGCCTACTTTTCTCTCTAGGAATGGAGAGGAACTGTAACGCCCTTGGTCTGAATGCTAGTAATAGTTACCTGCCTTACAAGGGTATTGTGAGGATTAATTGATGTTTACAGAGTGGTTTGAACACGAAAAAAAATTATACAAATATTTTTATGTAAGCCACTGTGTCCACTGGAAAAAATTTCCCAGCTGTTGCTGTCTTTATCTCCAGTGGGAAGCGGCTGTCTAAATACCTCTAACCCTCAGAATCTCCTCTCTCTCATGCTGGGAGGGGATTGTTTCTGTAGCTCTCATGCCAGAGACCCCTGTGCCTCACACTAGGACAGGTGAGGGTATGTGTGTCTCGAGCAGTCAGTTGTTTCTGTTGATCCCTATGTGCAGTGTGGCCACTGGCTAGGCCTTAAGAGACTTGGGTTCTATTCTCAGCTTTGCTGCTGGGTGTCCGTGAGAAAATCGCGTCACCTCCCCATGCCTCAGTTTCCCCATCTGTGAAATGAGCATAATGATACTGATCTCCTTTGTAAAGCACTTCAAGATCTGTGGATTAAAAGAGATATACAAGAGCTAGATATTATTAACATAAGTTCTTAGTCATCTCCGCAGCCACTTCCCACCCATTTTCCGTAGGCATGATGCTACCCAACTGCATCTGCCTTCACCCTTACTGTGCAGTATCATTCATCAGTTGCTTAGTAGTAATTTCAGCTCACCTGTTATGGCAGCCTGTCTGTAGAGTTTGTCTTCCCACCAAGCTTGGTTCATCTGAAGCTGAGTGCTGTGTGTAGGTAGCTGAAGGGGAGTGGATTCCTGCTACCAAACAGGACCAAAAGGGAAGAAGTTAAGGGATAGGGTAGGCTGGAGGTTGGGAAATGAAAGCCAGGGAGTGGGGAACATGCTGGTTCTAAAGAGGGGATCCTATTTGTTTCCTTCCTTTGTGTGTGTGTGTGTGTGTGTGTGTGTGTATGACTAAAGTCAAAAGGCCCAGGCACATCTGTGTTGACCTCAAGCTCTTATCCTGTGTGATTCTCCTCGTTCTTACTTGTACTGGTGTCTTTGATACTAAATATTTCTAACTTGGCGGAAAAGCAAAGGCACTTCGGGGCTCTGGTCACCAGGGATTCAAAGCTGCTCTGTCCATAGAGATCGGTCTTTCTGTGTAATTACTTCTATGGGTTATTACTATGGATATCCATTCAGTCCCTGTTTATATTTCATCCAGGTGTAACCTTCAAGGCAAAGAGCCTTAGTGCTGTGTGAGCTGAGGAGCGCTCATGTCTTACTCTAATGTGTACTAAGAATGTATACAGAATAAATGGAATCTGACGACTATCTGGTGGAGGGTGTGGCTTGTTTGCTGTTAAATAGAGAATTGTCAAGTTTAAAGATGAATTTTAGTTGCTTGTTTAAGTTGGAGACCCTGTGTGCTGCCCAGAATCAATGCTAGTGTAAGTAGGCACTTTCCTTCATGCAACTTTGCTAGTGCTCCGAATCCTGACCTGCTATGCCAGTCTTGGCCTCCCCATACAGCTCTGCCAATGCACCTCTATCCCAACCTCCTGTAACCTATGCTATTTCAGTCCTGGACGCCACCTGTAGCTCTGCCGGTGTCCTGCAATCATGGCCTGCAGCACTTCTTGCTATTCTATTCCTGATCTCATGAACAGCTGTGCCAATGCACCCTAGTCCTGACCTACACTACGCTCTGTTTTACCAGTCCTGGGCTCCCCACAAACAGTTACGCCAATTCACTTCAATTCTGACCTGTTGCTTTTCTAGTCCTGTGCCTTTCCCAAGCAACAGAACATAGGCTTTTCCATGTGAGATCAGCGCATTGCTCCATCAAGACCCAGTATCCTGCCTCCAGCAACAGCCTCTGCCTGGTTATTCACTACTTTTGCCATGTTGTGGGAGATTTTCAAAGGCAAAATGGAATGTAAGCACCTGGCTGCATGTGTACCCTTGAAAATCTCACTGTTTATAGAAAGTGCTTTGTGGAATATGGATGACAGTTCCTGCCCAAAAGAGCTTAAATCTAACCTGGATAATACAATACAGAGCCCACTGGTTCCAATGAAAGGAAGTGAAGGGGCATCACAAGGGAGGTGTGTTTGAAGTTATTTGAGGGGAGCTTCTTGGCTGGTGGGATTCTGGAGGCTGTGCCAAACACAAAGGGGCACCATCGAGCAAAGCATAATAAGGACAATGGGAGGAGATGGAGAAACAGACTCGAGGTCCCAGAGTGCTTACTAGCTACAATCTATTTAGCTTTGAGCTATCACTTAATAAAAGGCTCCTGTTTGAACTTCTTATCAGCTGTGAAATGTACCCAAATAATTCAAGCTGCAGGCAGTAGCAGTATTGCCAATCTCAAGCATTTGAAAATTACATCAGACCCCCGAAAAATCAGGAGATTGGCTTAAAATCATACGCTTTTTAAAAAATAAGTATTTGGGGACTTTCTTTGTGCTTTAGGGGTCATGGTTTCAGGGTTTCTCTGCAAACAGTGCTATAAATGTGTGTGTGTGGTTTTTTTTTAATGAAATCTGAGAATCCTTTGATTTCAGTGGTGTGACCGTTAAGGAAACCACCACATATCACAAGACTTGGGGACAGTTCCAGTTAGGGAAAATCATGCTTCTCTAATCTACTAGAATTTTTTCAGCTTGTTTAACCAAGTAGTGAATAAGGAAGACTGGTTGATAGAACTTATCTGGGCTTTAAAAAGCCTTTGGCAAAGTCCCTCACAAAGAAGTTCTTAAGAAAACTGAATGATCACAGGAGTGAGAGAGAAAATTCTGTCATGGATCAGAAACTGGCTAAGAGACAGAAAAGAAAGAGGAGTCAATGGCCAATTTTCAACCTAGGGTGACCAGATGTCCTGATTTTATAGGGACGGTCCTGATTTTTGGGTCTTTTTCTTATATAGGCTCCTATTACCCCCCACCCCCTGTCCTGATTTTTCACATTTGCTGTCTGGTCACCCTATTTCAACCTGTCAAAAGGTTAACACTGCAATATGCCACAAAGGTCCACACTAAGGCCAGTGTTTATTATATTAATGATATGGGATGGGATGAATGAAGCAGTGGCAACATTTGCAGACACAATGATTATTTAGGTTAGTTAAAACCAGAGAAGTTGGCAAAGAACTAATGATGGCAGATAAAATTCAGCTTACTAGGTTCTAAACTGATAGAAATGACACAAGGAAAAGACCCTGGTGTTACTGAGGACAACTTGATGAAAACCCCGGCTTGGTGTATAGTAGTGGCCAGAAAACTAAAGAATGTGTTCTAAAGATAGAGATTGAAAATAGTACTGTGTAGTTATGCCGATTTTCTCAATTAACACCACATCTGCACCTGGGATTCTGGTTGAGATTGTCAAAGCTGACTCTGATTCATCCACCCACCTCTCATTGAAATGAGTGAATGTTGTGTAGCCAAATTGCCTAGATGACTCTGAAGTTCACTGATTTGTTCAGTTCTGGTCTCCCCGTCTACGAAAAGCATGTTAGCAGAAAGAGAAAGGGGCAGAGCTGGGTGATAGTATGATGAGTCTTGGAAAGGCTTCAGTGTGAAGAGAGTGGGGACTATCTGTTTTGGAGAGGAGATGAATAAAAGGGGTCATGAGAGAGGAATATGAAATAATGACTGCAATAGAGAAGTCTCAGGTGCTGCTGTGTACCCTAGTAACTTCTTAAGACAAAACCAAATCAATATCCAATAAAACTGAAAGGCAGTGCATTTTAGAACTGACGGAAGAAAATCCATTTTTTACACAGTATGTAATTAACGTATGGGACTCATTGCCACAAAAGATAATTGAACCTAAAAAAGTTGGTAGGATGTCAGATGAGTAGATATTTAGATCAATAATGAGAACATCCATGTTTGGGTCAGACAGGATAGAAAATGCACGAGGACTATAAACTTTCATGCTTCAGGGAATACATCAACCACTACTGCCTGGAGTCAGGAATAAAGTTCCTTTAGGAGCAGGTTACTCCATAATTGTCCACTATGATGTTCATTGCAGTGACCCGTGAAGCATCTGCTAATGATGGCCACAGGATCCTGGATTTAGATCATTGCTCTGAACCAGTTTAGCAATTCTTACATTTCTAGTGTTGGCAATAAATCATGCTTCAGTTGATACAACCAGGCACCTGGCCTCTTGCCCATTTTTAATGGCGCTTGAAGGAGAAAGGAACATTCTGCAAGACCAAATCAGATCTGAGTGTGTGAGGTGGGATAACAGGGTTCCTTCCATGCCCCTTTCCCACCCACATTCAATTTGCTTTTCTGTAATTTTGGCCCATGGGGCGAGCAGTTTCCACTGTTTATCTAGGTCCTTGGTGATAAGGGTCCCCTTGAGTGAGCTGATATTTATATTTACCCTTTTATAATAAAAATCCAGAGAACAGGATATGGGCCACGTAGCATATACCTCTGCTGAGAACAGTCACAATCTTTGGGGTGGAGGGTAAGAGCTGCTGCTTGTGTAGCTAAGCTTGAGAGTCTTCCTTCTCCTTGCTGTTCTGCACCTCTCCCTGTTCCCACAGATATCAAGGAGATCAGACATCTAAACTGCTGCAAAGTATGGCACTGCTCTTATGACAATAGGCTGAAGAATTTACCCATCTGCAGTTAGGAAAAGAGACTATGGAGGAAGCAATTCCATAAGACTTGATTGGCGTGAAAAGTTCTTCAAGTGTTGACAAAGTGACCATTTAAAAAGAAAGTGGGGTGGGGGAAAGGGGAGACAGACACCTCCCACCCCCAGCTATCTGCCGGAAGTAGGCACAATGCACTCAGAACAGGGCTACACACTGGTGGTTTGATCCAGACACTGGACTTGATTCAGGAATGATTGGGTGAAATGCTCTGGTCTGTGTTATGCAGGAGCTCAGATTAGATGATCGAAATGGTCCCTTCTGGCCCTTCCCCCTGTGAAATCTTTGCAAAACCCACCACGGTCGATCACAAGGGTGCAAGTGAAGCTCCCTTTGAACTTAGCAGCAATAGGACAACACTGATGCCCCTCGAACTGGAACCTCTGAAGTATAGACAAAATGTCCAGAGGGGTTTTTCTCCTAGCGAGTGATGCACATCTGGAATTCGCTCCCCTAGCAGCTCGTGTCAGAATCCACATGACTCGGGGCTCAGGAGCAAACAGCGATAATGATCAGGACAGGGATTGACGTTGGAGGGTATTGATGGGAACTGGATGATGAAGTGGTGGCCCCAGCTGACAGACGCAGGAGTTGAGCTAGTTGCTGCTGAGTAGTGGGGAAGGTTTTGCTGTTCCTGTCCTGTGCACTGGGGGGCTTCGTTCTCCAAGGCCGAGCAAGGCCATTGACAAAGTCTCCCTTGCAGATCCAAGGGTGATCGAGTTTATGATCAGAGCTCTCCGCCCCTGGTGGTCTGCTGGGCTGTGCCTCCATAGGGATAACAACAGTCCTGTGTTATAAGGGATGCCCCTTATTTAAATACAAAATCAGTACGAGTGCCTTTTATCCCGTAATTCAACCAGGAGTGTAGCACTGCCAGCAGCCAGGGTGGTCCGGAGGATCGCTCTGGCACCTGAAATTGGGCAGAACCGTGCTCCACCTCTGGGATTGCACTTTGTGAAGTGCCGCCAGTTGGCAACTTGACCTGGCCGTACGGGGTCTCAATGCTGCTCAAATTAGTCCCGGCCGCTCCTCCGTCGTGCCAAAGTGGCCTCTGGACCCCCTGCTGAAAGTTGGGCCTTCACCCCGCATTGAAATCTGAAATGGCACCCTGCAGAGATTTCTTCCTCACCGCACAAGAGGATCAGGAGCTGCAAAAAGCAGCAAGAAATACCCTGGTGAGTGTTGCTTAATAATAATAATAAATATGCAAACTACAGACACCAAGTTTTGGCAAGTTGCCACCCCCACCTCTCCGCAGTGTCAGCCAGATAGATGTGTGTGCGCGCGCTATGAAAACCGGCCTTTATTTTTGAAATACAATGTTGGCAACCCTAAATATTCTATTAAGTCCCAGACAAAAAAAGATTAAAATGGAATTAAGGTTTAGAGTGCATCTCAGTATGGCCAGGTGAAAAACATGATAGTGATCATCTCCAAACCCAAGAAATTCAGAGTTAAGATTTTTATTAAGAAATGGAAATGCATGGTGAAGGCACCCAAATAACTAACTCTGCTCTGTAGTGACACCATTTAATAGCAATAAGATTACGATTAAGGCATTTTAGTGTTTGGTATCTCAGCTTAGACAAAACTGATTTTTAAAGACACTTTTTGTGCGTCTGCCACTGCTCCATTAGTGTGACTACTGGGCAGAGTTAAGGTTAAGAGTTACCAGTGCACCTGCAATTACTTTTGAGGGCAAATTGGATATTTGTGGGGCTAATGATGACTTAAATGTTTGGGTTTTTTTGCATGTAAGAGTCTCACCTAACCTTGCATAATCTCTTTTAAGTACTTAGCTGGCCTCACTACTACAATTTTTACTGTACTTACATGCAAAGATTTGATGTACTGTCACGCACTCAGTGTAATTGCAAATGCAAATTAAACATACAGTTGCACAAACAATGGGGCTCTTGGGGGTTATAAAAATCCTTCCCTAAAATTCACCCCTTGGTTGTTTTTAAAAGGCCACCATAGGGACATTCCTGCCTTCCAAGGTGAATGGAGCTCCCCTAATCAGCAGAGACTGTTTCGATATGCAACCCACACCACCATGTTTTGTTCTCTGAGGGACGTTCCATACCCTTGTACTCAGGACCGCCCAGAGGATTCAGGGGGCCTGGGGCAAAGCAATTTCGGGGGCCCTTCCATAAAAAAAAGTTTCAATACTATAGAATACTGTATTCTCGTGGGGGGCTGGGGCAAATTGCCCCATTTGCTCCCCCCTCTGGGCAGCCCTGCTTGTACTTGTTTGGCCTCTTGAAAAGTTACAGGCGAGTACTGGGACGGAAACAATGCAGGTCACCCAAAACGATTCTAATCTTGTTGTTCTTTCCATTATAAGCCAACTGCCGTGTGTGATCAAACTTTTCCTCCTTTGGAGAAAGCATGCGATAGAACTATCAGACTGCAAGCAAGTGGAAGATAAAGGGGAACAAGCTGGTGGGTTGTTGGGTGTTTTGGGAGTTTAAGAACTTCGATTCCTCTTATCGTTCCAACATTTCTCTTCAAGGAGTAATTTAAAAATAAAATGGCAATTAGCCTTCTGATTAAGCATCTGTTCTTGAGATAAAGGGTCCTTAGCTCTGTTAGGGCAAGCCGCAGCATGAAGTGTTATTGACAGTTGATAAGCTTCTGATATGTGAATGATATAGTGGCAAAAGGAGGCGGAGACAACAGTGCACCCTTTGGGTATATAGGCAGGGAGCCTGGGACTCCAACCTCAGCCCGGCGTCCAGGACTGAACCGGGGGACTGTTGAGAAACTGCTTGCACAAGAAGAGCATCATGAAGTGGCTGATCCTCGCCTTGGTGTGTCTCCACCTCTCAGAGGGGATGGTGAGGTGAGCATGGAATAACAGTGTGGCCACTTGACAGCGATTGCTGATTATGCTGGTGTGAAGGAAAGAATAGGAACATTGTGGGGAGTGGTTTGAGAAGGAGAGTGGCACTCCTGGGTTCTGTCCTTGGCACTGCCACTGACAGGCTCTGTGACCTTGGACAAATCACTTAATCTCTCTGTGCATTAGTTTACTGTCCTTGGCACTGCCACTGACAGGCTCTGTGACCTTGGACAAATCACTTAATCTCTCTGTGCATTAGTTTACTTATCTGCAAAATGGGGGCAGTGCTACTGACCTTACTAGACTTGCAGATCAGTGAATCAGTAGTGCTTGTACAAATGCGAAGTACTATTCTTAAGAAGGATCAGCTTTTTCTTCTATGGCTTTGCATTTTCCCTGAGTCCAAGGAAACAATAGTCCACGGTTGGCCTTAACATTGACACCATTACCCCAGTGTCCATCTCCCATTCTTAGCTTTCCAGTGTGCTACTTCCATACTTCAGAGAGGTCTTAAGAGAACCAAGGCTATGGAAGATATGGGGTGAAATTTATCCCTGCTGTAATTACAATGAAGTCAGTCCCTGTGGAACCCCACTAATTAGTCCAAGTGCATTGGGTTCTTTCAGTGACTGGAAAACATACCACCAAACTACCCCATCCCAAACCTATTGAAGCTATGGAAGAGAAGCAGGAAGAGTGAGACCAAAAAGGAGAGGGGGAATAGGAAGAGGGACAATGACGAGGGGAGACTTGATCGCTGTCTTTCTGTTCTGTGCAGAATTCCCCTGAAGAAATTCAAATCCATGCGGGAGGTGATGAAGGAGAAGGGCGTACTCAGGGACTACCTGAAGAACCACAAGTCTGACCCAGCCAGCAAGTACTTCAACAACTTTGCTGTTGCCTATGAGGCCCTGGTTAACTACCTGGATGTGAGTATGTGCCTGATTGGAAAAAATAATGACAAAAATGGAGCAGAGACAAGGAAAAGATAGAGGCTGTCAACCGTGGAGCAAGGATGGGAGGAGAGCGAGAAATTCAAATGGAAAATATGATCTCCAACTTGCACCAGCCCATCTTCTGTAGGACGGTTCTTGTAGTGTACAGGAATCGGGTAGTATCCCTTTAAATAGTTTGTGGGCCCTCTCATGGTGGTCACCGTGTTCTAGAGAAGCCAACCAGAGCAGCCACATGTATGTAGCTAAGCCTTGCGTGTTTGTGTCTACAGTAGAACCTCAGAGTTACGAACACCTCAGGACTGGAGGTGGTTTGTAACTCTGAAATGGTCGTAACTCTGAACAAAACGTTCTGGTTGTTCTTTCAGACGTTTACAACTGAACACTGACTTAACACAGCTTTGAAACTTTACTATGTAGAAGAAAAATGCTGCTTTTAGCCATTTTGAAACAAGCACGGGAGCAATTTCCTTACCTTGTCAAATCTTTTTTTTAAACTTTCCCTTTATTTTTTTAGTCGTTTATATTTAGCACAGTACTGTACTGTACAGTATTTGCTTTTTTTTTGGTCTCTGCTGCCTGATTGTGTTCTTCCAGTTCCAAATGAGGTGTGTGGCTGACCAATCAGGTCATAACTCTGCTGTTCGTAACTCCGAGGTTCTGCTGTAGTTAGTAAACACAGTTATTTGGGACTCAGCTATGCCCAGTGGTTCCTCCATATAGATTTTGTTCCATGAGGAGTAAAAGACCCAACAATTCTCTCGGCCCTAATAAAGAGCACAGGCTGCCCTCTAGCTAGAATATATATTTAAGAAATTGAATCTCTCTGGAGGAAAGAGAAGGGTTAAAATGGAAGGGGGGAAAGTTTGCCCTTTTTTGGAAACCCTCTAGCATAGTTGGAGTCGTTTGCAAAACCTCTAACTGCATGAGATTCCACCGTCTCTTGTCACCATCCACCCACCTGGCAGCCCCATTGGTTTGAGATTACATATGTGGTGCAGATGGCAGTGACTGTCTTCAGCATGCTCAATAGTACTATTGGTTGGCAAGTGACACGGATCGTGAGGAGGAGAACCTGTGATGAAAAGAATGCCCCCTTTTCTCTAGATGTCCTACTATGGGGCGATCAGCATTGGAACCCCACCCCAGAGCTTCCTGGTTCTCTTCGACACCGGCTCCTCCAACCTGTGGGTGCCCTCGACGTACTGCCAGAGCCAGGCCTGCAGTGAGTAATCGCCATGCACAAGGGGCCGAGGGAAACGTCTCTACCATGGAGGGAGGTTCTCTATCACAGTATCCCATCCTGGGCACTGACCGAGCCGTAATCCGGATTGTTCGTCAGGAATGACGCCCTTCAAATCCCAATATGCTAGGAGTGTTCTGAAGTCCCACTGCAGACAGAAAGATAACCAAGACTATGGAAGCGCATGTCATTTATGTAGTTTGGAAGCTCTGTGGGGCGGGGACCCTCTTTTTGTTCTGTTTGTACAGCACCTGGCACAGTGGGGGCTGGTCCATGACTGGGGCTCCTAGGTTCTTATGGGAATTCAAATAATAATTGATTTATTTATAGATATACACGCACACATAATTTAAAATAGATACTGTTTGATTATATAATACGCACACGGACACGCACATTATTCTTCTCTTCTTTGCTTCCCATCCATTGGCTCAGCTGACCCTAGGGCGAACGAAGTCTGTCCACCACTTCCTACCTCGTACCAGCTTCGTGGCTTTGTTCATCTTTGAACCTTTTGTTGTATGTCAGTCTCCACCATGTCCGTCCAGCGCATCCTTGATCTTCCTCTATTTCTACCTGCTTGCAATTTGGTATCTGTCACCCTGTCTGGTATCCTTCCTGCGTCTGCTCTTGACACATGTCCAGACCTTCACAGTTGTCTTTCTTGGATCTTCTGCAGCAGCGTTATTTCTTGCCCTGTTTATGTGTCTATAAAAATAAAATCAATCCGTGTATTACAAAGGGCAGAAATTCCTATTCAAAGGCTTTCAGTCCCATAACGGCTCCATTGCTGAGGTGTCTGAAGCCCCAAAAAACTGTTTCAATCAGTGTAGGCACATGTGACAGTTTCAGACGGCTGCATGCAAAGAAAGAGGCAAGCCAGGGAAGGGATGGTCCCGTGGCTAAAGAACAGGATTGTGGGGCAGGGTTGTGTCCCATTGGGCAAGTCACTGCCCTGTTTTGTGCCTTCATCCCCCACCTGTAAAGTGCGGGTGATTAGACCTACCTCGAAGAGGAGCGGTGAGGCTTAATTGATTAGTAACGGGTGCAAAGTGTTGGAGAACCGCAGGGGGAAGGTGCTACAGAAAGGTCAAGTTTTGCCATTATTGGACATTTCTAGAGGGGATTAGTGTCGGGCTCAGTTCGGGGTGGGGAGCTTTGACTCCGAATCTGAATCGGTCATTCGCACGAGCTGATAACTGACGCTGATCTGTGTTTACCTCTAGCCACCCACACTCTGTTCAACCCCAATGACTCCTCCACTTACTCTTCCAATGGACAGACCTTCTCTCTGCAGTACGGCAGTGGCAGTCTCACTGGAGTCTTTGGCTATGACACCGTGACAGTAAGTAATAGCATCAGCTGAGGAGAGGACATAGTTATTTGAGCTTCGCATGAGCTGGCAGGTGCTAGCATCCGAACTCCTTCAGCAGGCAGTGGTAGAAAGTCTCTGATTTCCCCTGTAGGCCCTGCCACGAGGGGGCTGAGATCACTCACTCTAGCTAGTGAATATACGGCCCATCACTCATTGGGGAATTTTCTGTTCAAACAGTGCCTTGCCGAGGGCCAGAACCGAGACATCTATTCCACTTTTAATCTCCAGATGATAAGGATATAATCTGGGTTTTTGAAGTGGGCTTTCAGAAACGAGGTGGTTGGGGAACAGGATGTTTGGGAGTATTTCAAACAAAACCCAAGGCACTCAGCATTCTTTTTTCAACACCGTGAACCTTCAGACTCCCAGGCTGTGTATGGAGAGGCATCTGTAGCTGGGAAGCCTTTCTTTAGTTGGACATCCACTAGTTGCAGAGCTTTGGAGGAATGTCTGAGCCTCAGTGGGTCTTGCTAGTAGTAACAACATATTATTGTAAGAGGCAGCGTGGTCTAGTAGTGGGAGTTGGGAGATCTGGTTTTTACTCTCAACTCTGTTTCTGACGGGCTGGGTAAGCGTTAGGTAAATAGCTTCCCTGTTTGTGCCTGTTTCCCTATCTATAAAATGGAGGTGATGATACTCACAGAAAGTGCTCTGAGATTTCTTGGCTGGTTAGATAAGTGCACCCAAAGTTCTCCTTCCTGGGTTTGCTAGGTTCAGTGGCCTGCTTGCTCTGTCTGGTTGTAATGGCTATTCCCATCTCTTGTTCTGCAGATCCAGGACGTTTCCATCACAAAACAGGAGTTTGGCCTGAGTGAGACTGAGCCTGGCACCGACTTTGTCTATGCTCAGTTCGATGGGATCCTCGGTCTGGGTTTCCCTGCCATTGCTGCTGGCGGTGCCACTACTGTGATGCAAGGTCTGATCCAGGAGAACCTCCTCAGTGCCCCGCTCTTCAGCTTCTACCTGAGTGGGTAAGTAGGAGGAGGCTATTCCCCTGTCTCTTTAAGCCCTTCTACTGTCTTTATATTTCCCATGATCCCTTTCCCTTTGTGTCAGCTCCTCTGGTCTCCCATGCCCTGAGGAGGGCCAACAGCAGAATAATGTGGTGAAGGTTCTACCCAATCAGACGTAGCATGTTCCTTGGGGGCTACAGTCTCTAGGCTTCACTGTACCATTTCTGCTCTACTCCGCTCTGATTAGGCCTCAACTAGAGTATTGTGTCCAGTTCTGGGTGCCACATTTCAGGAAGGATGTGGACAAATTGGAGAGAGTCCAGAGAAGAGCCACAAAAATGATTAAAGGTCTAGAAAACATGACCTAGGAGGGAAGATTGAAAAAACTGGGTTTGTTTAGTCTGGAGAAGAGAATACTGAGAGGGGACATGATGACCGCTTTCAAGTATGTAAAAGGTTGTTAGGAGGAGGAGGAAGAAAAATTGTTTTTCTTAACCTCTGAGGATAAGACAAGAAGCAATGGACTTAAATTGCAGCAAGGGAGGTTTAGGTTGGACATCAGGAAAAAGTTCCTAACTGTCAGGGTGGTTAAGCGCTGGAATAAATTGCCTAGGGAGGTTGTGGAATCTCCGTCATTGGAGATTTTTAAGAGCAGGTTAGACAAACACCTGTCAGGAATGGTCTAGATCAGGGGTCTCAAACTCAAACGACCACACGGGCCACATGAGGACTAGTGCATTGAACCGAGGGCCACATCACTGACACCCCTCCTCGCTGCCTCTGGCCTCGCCACCACTCCACCCCTTCCCTGCCCCAATCCAACCCCTTCCCCGAAGTCCCCACCCCAACGCTGCCCCCAGGGGGTGCAGAAAGGGTGCAGGGTGCGGCAGGGGGCTCAGGGCAGGGGGTTGGGGTGTGGGAGGGGTGTGGGATGTGGCAGGGGGTTGGGGTGTGGGA